GTGCCCAAAAAAAAAACAGAAATAGGGAGGTCGAGTGTCGGGAGGGGGTGGTTTACGGCATACCATTGCCATGTCGTTTTACTTACGTTGGCCAAACAGGAAGATGGGTAAGCGACTGCTTATTAGAGCACAAAAGGGCAGTGGGATTGAGGGCTCAAAATTCAGAAATAGCCACACATGTTGAGGAGCGCAATGGGTGCAACCCCGAGTGGGCCAGAACAGAAATTATCTACATTGAAACAGATGCGACTAAAAGGGTATTGAGGGAGACCATCAGAATAGGGAGTATTGGGAACTGCATAAGTAATCCTTCCGTTTCTTTAGACAACCTAACCTGGTCCCTTATCAGAAACGGAGTTTCCGTCTCCATGACGGGTGAGATCCAGCCGAAAGGTTAAGAAACATTGGTCTGTTTTGTTTTAGAGTTGTTTGTGGTTCTTTGATATGGCATCGGAAAGATAGAGAAATAAAGGGATGGGGGAGGGGGGGGGGGGGAGGGGCTAGGCTTTCTGGAAGGTTGGGTGGTAGCCCTACAAACAAGGCTTTGAAATTACTTTGCGGCGCATTTTGCCTCACAGGGTGGGCTGTCACACGTGTCTTCGATGTTTGTGTTTAAGTCGGCAACTGTAAAGGGGGGGGGGGGGAGGGAAAGGGGGATACCGAGAGGTGTGCTTGTGTACGATACGACGGCGGGGGGCCAGGAAGGTTTGCGCGGAAGTGGGGGATTAGCGGTTGTGGCAGTGGCAGGTGATGAGTCGACTGCGTGGACTTTCTCATGGACGCTGCGGCGCCTAGCGCGTGAGCATGTAGGTGTGTGCGAGGAGGGCTGCTGACGATGGACCGGACAGGAGGAAGCGGCTTCACTTTCGGGGCTGTGGGTTCGGTCGGGACACGGGGGGCTCGCCTTTTTAAACGAGTTTTTGACAAATAAACCTTCAGCTGTGTTTGAGACGTTGTGTTGTGTTCGTCCCCTTCTGTGTTCCTGAGTCTCGGGTTTTTATTACCAAGACTATGTTGCCCCTTAACCTAGTACTAATGTCCCCGAATAAGAAAGGTAGCGACATCTTCACCCTCCTCCTCTGACGCGCACTCCTCTTATCTTTGTGTTTTGCTCTTTTACACCCACGCGTCGATTGCATCGCCGCCTGGATCGCTCCAAGATATCAGACTGTCTTCCTATACTTGAGTCAGAGCACAGTCAAAGGCTGAAAGACACGCAATGTACATACACACAGGCTCAAAAACGCACTGTCACGGTCTACCAGCCTCGAAGAATGTGCTCCAAGAAAGGTGATGAAAGCCGTAACGTTACACAGTCGTCGTTATTTGATTGGCGACGTGAGCTCATAGCATGCACTGCACTCCGACAGCATAGGCATTCCTTCTCCCCCCTTGTGCCTCACGCACACTCTTATTGTTGTTATAATTTGCTCTTTCGCGCTCGCGCGTCGACGGTAGCGCCGACTGGATCGCTCCAAGATAGCAGGCGGCATTCTTCAAAGGATGTCGCTACGTTTCCGTATACAGGGGCTTTACCTAGTACTACTGACGATATTTCTTTGTTTGGTTAGTGGATTGCTTTGTTTACTCAGACACACCCGATATCGGATAGGAAAAAAGAGACGAGTTTCGCCTAACAACTACCAGACATTCATTCGTTACTCAGCAGGCAAAAAAAGAAAAGAAAATGAGAAACATTTCGAAAAACCAGAGACGACGAACGAAAGAAGGGTGTCGGATAAAGTCGAGTGTTGGAGTGAAAACGTCGCAAAGAAGGATGGAGGTCAGGAGGGATCCACCACTTTCCGGGTTCCCGGTTCGAAAGTTTGGATTTGGATTTGGATACGACTGAAGTGTCAATTAGCCGGATCCAAATCCAAGTGTATGACTTGGTAGGAAAGCTTGGGAAAGCTTCACGCTTCACCGCCATTTTGCGTAAGTGAAGGCAATGCCAACACACTGCGTGGCAGTTGGCTGCCGGAACTCGCACCGGCCGGGGGATGGGAAGAGGTTTTTCAGATTCCCCACGGCGAAATACGGCCCTGAACGGCGAGTAGCGTGGGTACGCGCTGTAGAAAGAGCTCACCCGACAGACACCTCAAAGCCGTGGGAGCCAAGCAAGCAGTCCCGGCTATGTGGGGCTCATTTCGTCACGGGTAAGTCGATTTAATCGCACCTAATCACTTTAAAGACACCACGGTAGAATGCTGCGTGATCGTAACGTTGCCGCTTTTTTGAACAGGGAAACCATCTCTGGACAACGATCACCCCGACTTCGTGCCGACTCTGTTCGAGCACGTCAAGAAAAAGTCATCCCATGCTCGCTGCATGCGATGTAAAAATCGCACGAAAACCGAAGGTAACGATGGCTAAAGTTAGCGCTTGTCCCCGTATGCATGCCCTACTTCGTTAGTATCGTGTTCGTGCTTATGACTTTTACTCGACGCTGGGTCATTCGCGGTTCTTACCGGCCTAGTGCGGTAAGAAGCACGAAATCTCTGAGCGTGAGGTTATGCAAGCTGATAGCTTTATACCTTGTGCATACTGCTTTCCGAGATGTGCAGCGGAGAATATTGAAAAAAAAAGGCAGGTTTAAACACGGTATCTTGGGAGCAGACTTTTTTCTGTATGTGACACTAAAATATTGTGTGGGAGTCGCAGTATTTTGTCATAGATATATATCTAAAGTGCAGAGTTTTTCCAGATATCTAGTAAAAAAGCAAGCCAAAAGTGTCTCATGGCTGAAGTAAGTGCTGAGAACCTGGTTGTGTATAGATTTAGGTAACTTGTACACATCAGAAAGCTAGAAAAAAGTCGTGCCAGATGATGCTGGCGAGTGGCTGTGATTGCGTGCATGATTTGTTTTCGTTTTCACTGAAATTGTATGTTCTCTTTGAAATAACCAGCTTCAACAAAAGCTGCAGTCCCCCCCAGGCTGCAACACGGAGCCTCGCAGCACGCAGGCCCGTGCCCGGTGTCTGGGACAATATGCAAGGTCTCCATGGAGCACTCTTATGCGCAGCGACCCTTCCAAGGTGCAAACTTTGTCTGTTTCCTTTTGGGTTAGGACAGAGAGGGGAATGGGCAGCCTCGTACTGGAGCCTAAGCCCGCATTTGAACCTGGTACATCATCTGCCGCAGGGAGGTGGCTGTTAGAAACACCTGTGAGGTATACATTCCCGTTATTGCACAATGTTGGAAATTTCAATTGCAACTCTAATTCAAGTTAGCTTGCTGTGTTAATTGGCTTGATAACTTTGTAACTAAAATTGTAGGCTGTCTTTGAACAACAAACCAGCCTCGACAAATGCTGCAGTGCTCACCCGCCCACAGCTGGGGGACTCGCAGCTTGCTGGTCAGCCCCCTACAGCTCTCGCTGGCCCCCTTCGGACTGGGGCCATCACTCCGGACCTGTGGCCACTGGGACCCGACGAGGGTTCGATGGAGCAGACCAAAGGTGCAAACTGACTATAGAACTCGCCATTTAGATCGCATCAGAGGAAAATTCGGACTGGGCTGGCTATGGCTTCATTTTAACCTGCCGCTTCGTCTGCTACAGGGAGTAGGATCTTAGAAGCACCCGAGCGGCACAAGGTCCGAATTATTCTATAATATTAGCAATTTCAACCACAACTCTCATTCAAGTTAGCATGGTATGTTAATTGGCTTGATAACTTTATTGCTAAAATTGTGTGTTGTCTTTAAATCACAAACCAGCCCCGACAAATGCTGCAGTCCCGACCAGGCCGCCGCAGGGGGACTCGACGCTCGCAGACCCTCTTCAGACTGGGGCCCGTCCAGACCTGAGCCCACTGTCTGAGGGACCTGACGAGGTCTCGGTTCGAGATCCCTGGACGCAGCAACACCTCCACGGTATTAATTTAATTGTTTTGCTTGTATGTTGAGTCGGAGATTTACGAAGGCATTGCAGAAATCCACAACCTTCCATCTTGGTGGAGGTTAAGCCATAGCGAGCTCTCCGTCATCGGAACAAACATTGACCTGTGTGTAAAGTATTTCCTTTATTCATATATCAGGCTGTATAGTATTGACATATTGTCACGAATGACAGGCAGAAGAGTCAAGAAATAACTGAATAAAATGACCGTGTAATGGGGGCGAACTTGTGCCCAAAACAAATAAAATTACAGTACGTCGCGGGCGTCGAATCTCGGCGGAGCAGCAGGGAAGCGGAGCACTGACGAAAGACTAGTGAGTTTTCGTAGACCGCGTTGCCCCCTCCGCTAAGCGTTCCGCAACGAAAAGTTGCTACTGCGCCTGCTCGCCGATAGCCTTGACTGTGGAGTTCCCGCTAACGTAGCGGAGGGCCTTGCGGGACGGCGAAAACGGTCTACGAAAACTCCCTACTGACTGCTGTGTCACGGGCGCGCCTTTTATAGTGTTGCCAGATAACATCCCGTAACAACTAGAAAGCACTAGAACAAACCAAATTACAAATGAAAAAGAAAGCGAAGCCACGAGCTCTGGCTAGAACCCTCGGGAAACTAAATGACGAAGTGAGGAAGGAACTAAAGAAAGAATAAAAGATCCCACAGCCGGGTCGCCGCTTGTTAAGACAGCCACATTATCTTCGGCATTTGATAAGGCACCCACGCAGGTGGCAATATGACTGATTTCTTCTCAGGAATTGAGGAGGGAACTGCCATCACCCTGACCACAAACCACCTCAACAACGAGAAGCTGTCGGCACTTCAGCAAAGAATCCTTGACCTGGAGGCGGACAACAAGCGCCTCCATGCGAAGGTTGTACGTCTTCAGGAAAGACAGCTGGGGTTACGCATGATGCAGGAGAGCCCCAAAAATTGTATATTCTACACTGGGCTGCCCGAGTTCTCCGTCGTCGAGTTATTGTTGAATTTTCTGGAACCTCGGGCAGTTAAATGAACTATTGGAACAGCGGGCATGGTGAGACTAGATCCCGCAAGCGGGAAGAGCTGGCAGACGAGTTTTTCATGGTCCTGGTGCGGCTGAGGAGAGGCATGGTAGGTAAAGAAATTGCCCGCAATTTCAATATTTCGGAAGGGCAAGTCAGTAAAGTATTTTCAACGTGGAATAACTTTCTTCAGCAAGAGGTAAGGGCGCTGACTCCGTTTCCGACAGTTCTCGAGAACCAGGAAAATCTCCCCGATGCGTTCCACAGGTTTCCCAACACGAGAGTCGTCCTTGACGGAACCGAGGTGCGCACTCAGAAGCCATCGTCCTTGCTTGCTCAGAGGCAGACCTTTTCACTGTACAAGCATTATAACACGTATAAGGCAGTTGTTGGCTCTACGCCCAAGGGCTACATTTCCTATGTTTCAGAACTGCGGGGTGGATCAACCTCCGACCGGGTGATCGTTGAGGAGAGCGGGCTAATGGAGCAGTTAGAACCAGGAGATGCGATCATGGTCGACAAAGGTTTCAAATTTAACGATTTGCCACTGGGAGTGCAGGTCCACATTCCGTCTTTCCGAAAGCCAAATGAGCCACAAATGTCGGAGAATGATGTGGCACACACACGTCACGTGGCAAGCGCTAGGGTAGTCATTGAGCGCGTGATAGGGAGGGTGAAGCAATTTCACCTGCTTGATCGACCCTTCCCAATCTCCATGGTTGATATTGCCGAACCTGTGTTCCACGTTTGGTGTTTTCTAAGCAACTTCCGTATGCCTCTAGTGAATGGCTAAACACGGTGCACTTTGCTTTAACTCTTTCGTTACCACGCATATTCAAACACATCACTGGTGATCTATGATTTCATTCGTCAATTTCAATGTTTTAAAGCTGTTTCTCAGGGAATTAATACCACTCTGTGGTTAGCCCCGAATATGGGTTTTAGAATCGGCTTCGATTTCGTTGCTTTAGCAAAGCTATGCTTTTTGATGAAAAGTTTTGCGGACTGCAAGTGTGTGAGTTGTGGCGAAAAGGGGCATTTTATTTTTTAAACACTTTAAAGCAAGTTTAAAAAAAATCAGATGTTACATTCTTGTATATAAGACTAAATATGCTATGTAAAAGTTTCACCTTCCTATGAGCATCACAACGGCATTCGGTCGTGTATCACTACTGCGTGAGCACATTCAAGACTCCAGGTTAGCAGTCATACTGCTCTGGCAATATTAGTCATCTACAGCGTGAACCAGTGTCGCCTCATACTGGCAGAGCGAACTTACGCTTTATAAACACGAACTTTTAAATTGAATTTTTGATCTGCAAGCATCTCATGAGATTCATTTTCCTGTTAGCGCTGTTTTTTGAGTTTTAACAAGCATCCTGTATTGTGTTAGTAACGTTGTAAAAGGTCTCCTCTTGCAGACCACGGACGTTGGTTGGCATCTCTACTTCATGCGCACCAAGTACGGCAGTGAACGGCTGCTCTACATTTTTTCTAGGTATAAGGGAAGGTAAATTTGGTGGGGAGGTTTTTATGTGTCAAAACCAACGAAGGGTTTCTTGCCTGTCCCAGCGAAGGATAGGATTAATTATGGCAAGCTTTTGAAGCGCAATCAAATAGTCGGTTACCACTGCGCCTTTTCTGCAGTAAGCCTCCGTCATATTTCACACAGTTTAGTGCCCTTAGCACTCTGCTGGCTGAAAGTAGGACCCACTAGAGTGCAATCAAATAGTCGGTTACCACTGTGCCTTCTCTGCAGTAAGCCTCCGTCATATTTCACACAGTTTAGTGCCCTTAACACTCTGCTGGCTGAAAGTAGGACCCACTAGAGTGAATACCATATTCATATTGTGACCCAATGAAGATCTGAGGATTAATTTAAATGACAACTCCGGTTCATAGTTCACTCGGCGTCCTTGAATTAGAAGGCGTAATTTTGGTCTCGCTATTGTGAGTAGTTTTAAAGATATCCTGGCCCAAAGTTTTGTTTTGGGTGTAGTCGACAGAACCGAGACTACAGCTCAGGATCAACCGCAACAGTGAATAACAGCCCAGAGGGGGGAGGGGGGGGGGGGGCGACTACGATGACGTCACACGCGTCCCTCACCACGTCCGAATGCCCAATCACGCTGGCAGCTTCAAGATAGGAGTACGATGACGATGTCATGGTCGCTTCATCAATCGGTAACCCTTAGGCGTCCTTCTAAGAAGCGACTGGTCGCATTTCTAATATCGGTATTAGTTGGGAATGCAGCATCCCCTTGACGTAATATTTTGATTGTGGTCGTATTTTGCGTCACTAAAGCGATACCAGTAATTTTACTTTCGAATTTTGGCCGGACTTGTCCTTTAACCACATGGGTCCCTAACTAAACATAGACTTAGTCATATCTAGCTGTGCTCATACTTATTAACTTAGATATAGAATGGTTTCACTTCTAGTAAGCTGTTCCACATGGTTCTCCTTATTCGCATCTAGCTGTGCTCATACTCATTAACTTGGGTATAGAATGGTTTCACTTCTATAGTCCGTTGCAACCTAAGAAGGAAGGGCGACGGTAAGACGGGCCGGGGAGGAGGAAGCAGCCGGAACGCTGGACAAGAGAGCGGGAAACTTCCTTCTCTCTTTAGCGTTCCGTCTGCTTCCTCCTCCCCGGCCCGTCTTACCCTCGCCCTTCGTTCTTAGCTTGCAACGGAGTACAGTAAGCTGTTCCTTGTTTAGCAAGTTTTTCTTTTGTAATACTGTGTATTTTCCTAGTGCGAGAGGTGCACCATTGTTTGTACTTTCCACTATTGCCTTTATAGTATTGTCTACAGCCGAGTTTCTCCAATTTATGCATTTTTTAGCTTTCTTAAATCGAATTAAAGTTACACAGGTGGTGTTTTTTTGTTTTGAAACTGGGCCTATATGGCATGGCTCTGGAGCAAAGGAAGATGTTCTCGTTTGCTAACAAATTATATATTTACAGTATTTACAAAAAGAGACAGAATCTATCGGTCGTCGAATGTGGCCTGTGTAGCCAGTCGCCCTGCCACCTCGAGACCCCTCGTGCAAGTGCTGATGTTTTCCCGTGCCGGTGGTCTTCGCCTTCTTTCGCGCTGTAGCGTGCCGCTACAGCTTCATACATTACTAGACAGGTCATGAATTGTATCTGTGGTGATAGTTATAGCAATGTGTACAGTTTCTGCCTTTGAAATCTTGTGTATGTATATTTGTACTGCTGTAATCTAGACAGGTGTAGTAAACGTTGTGTATTTCATAGGTTGCCTGAACAAACCTTGTCTCAAATCTACATAGAAAACCCTGCAACAAAAACTTGTTTTTGGTTTTAAATCTGTGGTGAACCACTGTGCTAATTTGTTTTATACTTTTTGCAATAAATATTGTGAGCTGAAAGCACCACGCATGGTGTCCTGCTTTTTTATATGTCATTTATTGAGAGAGACACGGAGTTGGCTCACGGAGTGAACGTCCGAGGTACGTATTTGTTTGGCTTTTAAAAGAGCCGTTGTTTGAGAAGCCCGCAGGTTTCGTGCCAGCGTCCCGCCTCACACCAGCTTCCGCAGCTTCTTCTTGAGGCCAGGGCCATCTTCAACCACGTAGTATCCTGCACAGTACTTCTTGTGAGACACGTACTTGCCTTGGGACACCAGGTCTCTTCGACGTCTGACACGACCTGTCAGGACCTCCGGGAAGAGTGCGCACGTGCTCGGCGAAGTAGAGCAGTCCTGGCATCAGCTCCCTCTCCACAAACTTCGCGTCGAATGAGATGGTCTCGATGTTTGTTGAGCGGGCCACTGTCTCGTTATTCGTCCAAACGACGAAATCGCACCACTTGTGCCCGGTCACTGCCATCTGACCCTGAACCTAGTAGAAGTACGCATGGGTCTTCTTGAGGCACACATCCCCATCGACAAGCTCACAGCAGAACTTTCTGTCTTGGCGGGCCTCTGCCGGTGTTTGCCCTATCTTGGAAGGCGGACATTTCACTTCCAGAAGGCCCTCTTCTGTGCCGATGGTCACAACCCTGTCGGGCGACGCGGCAATGAAGCTGTGGTCTCGGTGCACGTGAAGACCAGTCTCGTGCACCTGCACTGGTTGCTCATATGCGGCCATGAGTTTCACATAGGCAGCGACGGCAATGCGCTCATGCGTCCTCCCATACCGCATATCCTCACTTGCTGCATCGGGGCCAGGATACAAAATCCGCTTCACCAGGTACTCTGGCTTGGTGCATCTGATGACTGCGGAAAACACCGATGCCGTGATTCTCCCCCGTCGCTCCTCGTGCCACCTTCGGTTGTCGGCTTGGCCAATGGTGGACTGTGTCACCTCTGTCCGCTGTTCGTCGGTGAGCCTTGGGAGGGACTGCATATGCTTCTGCACTGCATCCCGGGCCTCCCTACTCCACAGATCCTCGTCATCGGCGATCGGCAGTGCCGGTCCTGCTGGCTTCGCCTGTTGTCGACCGCCGTACAAAAGCCATACAAGGCCCGGAGTCTTAATGCGGAGGGCTTCTCTCAGCGCCTCGATATGCTCCAAAGACGCGCCGCCAACAGCCTCGCAGGGGTCGTACGAGCGCCGCCTCTTCTCCCTCACTGGCCTGTTGACGAGGTACTGCTGGAATGTGATCTCTTGGAGTGGCTTCAGGGGGGCAGGCTTCTTGGCTGCAATGAGAAGAGTTCATTTGTCAGTTCTGTCCAGTTGTAATATTGAGCTATACCTGGGTTCTGTGTCTCTTAATCATGTCGATAGCTCATGGTCGTCCAAGACGTTTTATGTAGAGGGCATTTTTAAATTGGGATCATGCAAGACACCCCAAGGGATAGCTCTATTACTTATTAAATTATGAAGTCTGAAAGGCACCGGGCAGATGGCTTTACTTGTTTAGAGAGCAATATAGAGGAACCTTAATTTAGGACAGCTTGGGCACCTCAATGTAATCGCACACTATGCAATAATATTTTATGTACACACCTTGCGCAGGCACAATCCAAACGCAGGGGATGTCCGTACAGGATGTCGTGCTGGCACTGCACTTTTCCTCAGCGTAGAGCAACAGCGCCGCTATGTGCTGGCAGGACTGGCTCAACCTGAAAAATCAAAATAGAACATCACCATAAAATGAGCACGCTCAAAACTAGTGACAATGAGCAAACCAACAGACTCCCCAGTTTTATGTGCCCCACTGCAAGCCAAGTGGTTTTCATGGCACATCGGCTACGCGGACTTGATTGACGTTCACGAACATGTCTTCGCCAGATCGATTGCGAGGCACAAGTAGGCAACGCGAGGGAGTTTTGCGAAAGCGATTAGCACACTACATTAGTTTCCGAATCGAACAAATCTCGCCGATATGGATGTCGCACCCAAATGAGCATCTTAAAACGTAGGGCTGATTCCGACATCCGCGTCGAGAAGAATCCGCAGGCAACACGATTGCTTGTGATTGTAATCTCTTTTAGCGCTAGATCTATAGAATCGCCAGCAAAAAGATTTATCACTTACCCTGCAACACAGCCACAAACGCAGCCCATGACGCTCCCGGTGGTTGCGGAGAACCAGGCCGACACCGTGTAGTGCGGCTTCTTCATTGATGGAAGGCAGATGACCCGGACAAGGAATATCCGGGAGTCGTCGGAGGTGGTCTACCTCACGTTGCGGACATAACCTTCTTCCTTGAAGGACCATCCTCGGTTGGCATGCCGAACCGAGTCCGACTTGCTGCGCAAGTATCGCCACACTTCGTCTTGCGAAAAGTTGGCGCACTGCGGAGGGTTTTCAACCCAGCC